CATGGTTTCTATGAGCTTCATGGTTTCTATGAGCTTCATGGTCTCTATGAGCTTCATGGTTTCTATGAGCTTCATGGTCTCTATGAGCTTCATGGTTTCTATGAGCTTCATGGTTTCTATGAGCTCTATGGTCTCTATGAGCTCTATGGTCTTGATGAGCTTCATGAGATTTATGAGCTTTCATGATCTTCAGGATGTTTATGGATCTTTATAAGCTTCATGGGTCCTTATGATTTTATGGTCTTTATGAGCTTTATAGTCTATATGAGCTTCATGGTTTCTATGAGCTTTATGGTCTTTATGAGCTCCATGGTATATATGAGCTTTATGGTATATATGAGCTTTATGATCTCTATGAGCTTCACGGACCTATATGAGCTCTATGGTCCCTATGATCTTCATGGTCTTTAGGAGCTTTATGGCTCTTGATGAGATTTATAAGCTCTTTGGATCTTCATACGCTTTATGGGTATTTACGAGCTTTATGGATGTTGATGAGCTATATGGTCTCAATGAGCTCTATGGTCTTGATGAGCTCTATGGTCTTGATGGGCTTCATGAGATTTGTGAGCTCTATGGTCTTTATGAGCTTTGTGGTCTTGATGAGCTTTATGGTCTTGATGAGCTTCATGAGATTTGTGAGCTTTATGGTCTCTATGAGCTTCATGGTTTCTATGAGCTTTCTGGTCTCCATGAGCTTTATGGTCTGTATGAGCTTTATGGTCTCTATGAGTTCTATGGCTTTTGATGAGCTCTATGGGCCCTTCATGGTCTTTATGAGCTTTATGGGTCTTCAAAGCTTGATGGATCTTTATAAGGTCTTTGGATCTTCATGGGTTTTGTGGATCTCTATGAGTTTTATGGTCTTTATGAACTTCATGAGATCTATGAACTCAATAGGTCTTTATAAGTTTCATGTATATTTATGAGCTTTATGGGCCTTTATGAGTTATGAGCTTCATGAGGCTTATGAGCTCTATGGGTCTTTATAAGCTCTTCGAATCTTTATAAGCTTTTTGGTCTTTATGTGTTTCATGAGATTAAGCTCTTTGGATCTTTATAAGCTTCATGGGAGTTGTGGATATTTGTAGAAGGCCCCTGATGAAGTTCTTAAGGTTTAGTGCGGATCTCAAGTAGTGGGCTGATAGTCGGGCGAAGAAAATGTTCGATGGTTCGAAGAATTTCACAAATCTATGGATGTTTCTATGCTTCATGAAGCTTGTGACTTGATGAATTGCAATGGCCTTTTGATGTAAATACAGAGTCACGGGGAACTACCGCTGGTTCGTGTGAATGTTATAGATTGAAATAGCGCTTTTAGTGGTACCGCGGCATATGGTTTAAAGCTAGAAAAGACAGTTTCCAAACAGCTCCAAATATTTGAACGTTTCTAAAAGCCTCAGATTTTGCATGTCTCTGTTAGATGTACGTTGGTTCTTGATGGAACGAAAGAGTCTTTCAGAATCAGTACTATTAGTAAAATGTAGTGGAGCAGCGGTTCATGATGCTAGATGTTCTGAGATCGCCTTATCACATAGATCTTCTATGCGACTTGAAAATCTTGCATGATAAGGCTTGCATCCGAAAACGACTTGGAAGAGACTGCAAAATTGATTCCGGGTCAGTAAGAGTTGCAGAGTTGAAGTTTCTAAGCATGATTCTTCGTTGATTTCTGAATCTTTTGCGATAGTGAGGTGTGGGGTACCTGTTGATTTTGTTGAGCTGGTTGTCGGAGCATAGCTGGGAGGTTTATCATGCAAGGTTTTAAGCCACTGTATACTTCCGTTTCGCAACTTATGGCAATAGCCACAAGTTTTTCACAAGCAAGTTCAAGAGGCCCACGTGGATCTAATACACAAAGGACAGATTCTTCCCAATAATCATGGCAGTCCTTCAGCCGAATGATTTTCAAGTACAAAGACTGTAGTATTTGAAGCTCAACTGCCACGCAAGACCCAGAGGTAGGGCAAACGATGGACAACATAAGCCATACTAGCGAATCAAAGAGTCATGAATCGAGGCTGAAATGACCTCCCATAAAGGAACAATACCAACCAGTGACCCCTGAGTACCTGCCCAGCAAACGCTTTTACTCTAGCGATGGCGACCAATCTCCTAGGACTCCCCGTCCGCTTGAAGACGCTTGTTGGATGTAGGAAAATATAAGTTTTGGGGAATCAAGTGAGACCCAGATTTCTTCTTTTCTCTTGCATCTGTACTATACCTCTTGTGGTTGCGTGCAAGTTTCAACTCGTTTTCCTCCAATAATTGAAATGACGAAGATGCCGGTGGAGTTGATGAATCCTGGCTTTGTTGGGCTGGAGTTGAATTCTCTGCCTGCTTCTTTGACACGTTACGCCACAGGCGCATTCGTAAGCCATATCTACAACTGCGAAACATCCAAATACTGGTGGCAAGAGCTAAGATTTGCCAAATCCATGAGTTTGAACGCAATGTTGGCCCCGGCCGAGAACTCTTTGGAGAAAGTGCCGGGTCGCAAAGTTGGATCCTTCAGTCCGCTACTACCATCTGAGTTGAAGCGACTCCTCCAGGAGACTTATCCTAGAAGTTGATGACGTGAAATCCAATAAACAGATACGGGCCAAGAGGACCGTCCAGGCCATGACTAACGGAAAGGGACGGGCTGAGTTTCGACACTTGGTACGTGGCTGGGATATGTTTAAAGGTTTTATATATATATTGCTTATATAGTTTTGCTCCTTAAATCAGATGAATCTACCAAAACACGTATATACAATTCAAAAGTAGGAGGACAGTAGATCATGGCCACCATCAGGCAATCATAATAGACCTTTGGGCCTTTTGGAGACACCTCAAGTAAAAGCAACATTTGGATTTTTATGCCAACAGAATGCTCATTAGAACCAAAAGGCCGACTCCTCAAGCTGTTTCGATTAGTAATTCAAGAATAATGATAAACAACTGAGCCTGTGGAAGCCTCTTTCCAGAACCATGTACCTCAACTCATGGAAAAATCCAAAATGGCGAACCTTTAAGCCTAGAAGTATTAATGGGCTCTTGGCGAGCATCAATCTCACATATTGGTATTCTGCCAAAGAGTATTGTTGGACCCTCGGCCCGAACGATGTTTCATCCCACAAAATGGTATGCTAACGCAAGAAAATGCACTTTATTCTATACTATGGAATGTTATACTGAAGTCTGAGGTTCTTATGCTGGTTATCAAAGAGATTTAATACTTGAAAATCACATTCCGGTTGAGAAAATAGCATGATTCACTACACCACTCTTCAAGCAGGCATTGAATATCATTTCAATTAATGTTTTCTAATAAAATTGTATGCCGCTTGAAAAGAGAGAGACTGTGTTGGCATCTTCCAGACTACTTTCCTCGTATCTGACTTGAAAAGGGCTTCTGATATACACAATACAAGAGTGAACAATAGACAGTGAACCGTTCTACTATGCGTAATACAACCAAATTCTTGTCTGTTTGGAAACTATTTAGATCTGTGATGGCAGAGCATATGACGGGTTTGTCAATCTCTGTCTATGAGAAGATTCCTGGACTCAAACCAAATTATATTTTCATTAATGTTGTGTCTTAGTTTCCTGAAAAGCTTTGGTTCCATTTAGAACTTTATTGAGCGGGACTCCTCGAAGCATCTAAGTATTTGAAGTGAGGCATGATTCCAGAACCGCCGAAATGTCTTGGCTCATAAACTTTTGAGCCCGAAGGAGATCAGAAGGTCCCTTATAAACGTACTTGTACTGAGTTTGATTTCTCAATGAACAATCTTTGGAAACATCGACACGTGTTGCTCACTGATTTGAAAGCGTGTTCAGAAAATAGATCGGGAAGTCCTTCAAGTGGGTGATGATATATTAGAAGCTGATAGTAAAGGTGTCCAGTCCAGTGATGTTAAGTCAAGTCAAGTTCAACCCACCAAAAGGTAATCTTATTATTAATAATAGGATGATTGATATATATACAGGTATCTGGTGAATAGATTACTTGCCAATTAATTGTACATAGAATTCGGATCCCTGAATATTCTGACGATTGCAAGAATAGATGGTATTTATGATTCAGAATAAAAGGTCGAGCAGAAGTAAAACAAAGATCTGATCTAGATGTACCTAAACAGACATGTGCCGGGCCCAGCTTCCTCAAAACAATTACCACACTAAGCTCCGAATTGCCCAGCATCTCACGAAACTGATAATTCAAGTCCCTACCTTGAGAACCATGCCCTTGGTCTCATAGAACAGTCTACCAAAACAATGAAAAAAGACCGAGGGCCCCTCTCCCTTTTATATACAAGTCGTGCATTCACATTCTTGGGTATTTACAGATGGGCTCGTCGGGCCCCCGGCCGGCTCCACCAGGCTTCCTCCAGGCTTCCTCCAGGCTTCCTCTAGGCCACCTTGGAAACGTCCTCCGTGGCCGGCATGTCCGGAGACGCGGTTTCAAGCGCATGGTCCTTGGCCGCAGCATCGGCGGCAGGCTGCTCCGAATCCTGGCGCTCGGTCTCGGTGGAGGGCACTGGCTCGTCGTCCTCGTACAACTCCTCCTTGTAGTGCTCCGGGTGCTGTCTGAAACAGGTCCTCATGGCCTCGAACTTGCCGATACAGTCAATGCCCTTGGGCTCGGTCTCCGAGTAGACGAAACAGGCAAACGCGGCCTTGAACTCCTCGCCGCAGGGCCCGTCCGCCATGCCTCCCAAGCAGGGGCAGTCCCAGTTGATCTCGCCCGTTTCCGGGTTGAAAGCCGCGGCCTGGGACCCGCCGTTGTCGGCGCCGGGCTCGGCGCCGGTCGCGTCCGCCGCGATTTCCTGCGCCTCGGTGGCGTTCACCGGCGCCGCCAACTCCTCGCCCTGGGCCTCGGAGAACCCGGTCAATTCAAACGCGGTTTTCTCGCGCTCCGCCTCGTTCTCCGCGAGCACCTGCTCCGCCACGAGCCGCTCCGTGTCCGTGTCGTTGTGCACGGCGTTTGCCGAGACGAAAACAGACGAAAATAGCACGGCCAACCCGGCAGAGGCAGCGAGGCCCGTTCGAGGCACTGCACGCGGCTGTCTGGCCGTGGAAAAGGCGCGGGCGGCGTGATGGCGCACCGAGGCTCTGAGCACGGGTCTGAACATTTTTTTTGGGGTGTTTTCGGGGTGTTTTCGGGTGTTTTGGGGGTGTTTTGCGGTGTTCCCAGCGTGTTCCAGAGGAGTAGAAATGCTGGGAGCCGGGGCCGATCTCAGGCAAGGAAGAGCGCCCGGTGCAGTCACGTGACGCGCGGTGGGCCGCCGCCGCCGCGCAGCTGACTAAGCTGGGCCAATCATCAGGGCCAGGGCGTTGCGGGATTTCGAGGGGCATGGTTTGTGGCCACCGGGTTGGAAATTGGCGGGTTCGGGCGGCCGGGCTTGAAGTGGTGTTGTGGAGTAGGGTGCAGGCTGCATAGAGGGGTGTGGGGACAGAGGGCCGGATGGAGTGGGGTGAGGTGTTGCAAATGAGAAATTAATTAGAGGCTGGAAGAGAGCGCGATGGAGTCGGGTGAAGTGTTGTAAAGAATGTTCTGAGAAGTATGAGAGTGCTGGAAGAGAGTATATTATAATGAAGAAGATACAGTCAAAGAAATGTCTAGATGTATGAGAGTCCTGAAAGAGAGCAGGATGGAGTAGGGTGAAGTATTGCAAGGAAATGAGAAATAATTAGAGTGTGGGGAGAGCACGGAGAGAGTGTGTACGTATTGGCAAGTGGGGAATCTCCAGAAAAATATAAGAATATTAGTAGGAAAGCAAAATATAAAGAAGAAAATAAGGAATTGCAAAGAAATGTGTAGATTTATGAGAGTTCTGGTAGGAAAGCAGAATGGAGTGGAGGGTGGAGTAAGAATAATTAGAGTGCTGGGAAGAGGCAGATGGAGTAGAGAGAGTGTAAGTATTGGCAAGTGGGGAATATCCAAAAAAAAAAATATAAGAGTTCCGGAAAAGAGCAGAATAGAACAGAGGGTGAAGTGTTGCAAGGAAATGAAAATATATTTAGAGTGCTGGAAGAAAAGCGAGAATGTAGTAGAAGAAGGTGAAGTATTGCAAAAAATGAGAAATTAATTAGAGTGCTGGAAGAGAGCAGGATGGAGTAGAGAAAGTGTAAGTATTGGCAAATCAGGAATACCCGAAAAAAGAAAAGAGTTCTGGATAGAGAGCAGAACTTAGTAGAAGAAGGTAAAGTATTGTAAAGAAATGTCTACATTCGGAAGAGCGCTAGAAGGGGAGCCGGATGTAGTAGAAGAGGCGAAGTATTGCAAAGAAATGAAAAAAATCATGGTGCTGGAAATAGAGCACGATGCAGTAGAAACAGGGTAATTATTGGCAATATCCAATATAAGAATTCTGGAAGAGAGCCGAATGAAATAGAAAAAGGTAGGGTATTGCAAAGAAATGTCTAGATTTCTGAAAGAGAGCGAGAATATTAGGAGTGTCAATAATTGCAATGAAATATATCTACAAACAAATAAGAGTGCTGGAAGAGAGCAGCGTGGGCAAAGAAGCTAATCATAATTGGCGTTAGTTCAGTGGATGTATTCTAGAGCCATTCAATATCAAGACAACGGTATTACCATGCCTGGGGTCTGCGAGTAAACACCGCCCATCCTCGCATAGCTCCAGACTCGGATGAATATGAGTCTTTTCCACCAACGTTTGAGTATTCCTGATCCAGGGCTTTTTCGGATTTGGGCCGCTTATGTTCGGGTTGGGTTCGGCTCGTATTAACTTGAGTGACTCTATGACGTGCATTGGGTGGGGTACAGTAGGCTGGTGTACTGCTGGCCTTTCAATACGGGGTGGGTCGGTGGTTTTTTGGAAAGAACGCGCTAAGTAGAGTGTGTTTTGACAAAGAGTCTAAACAGATACGGTTCTGAGTATATCGTAGCCAGAAGATGCAAGGGTGTTGTAGAAATTCTAGCATTAAAAAAGACACTAGTGTTTGAGAATGTATCAATCAAGAGTCTAGGAAGGATGTAGAGTATTGGCAAAGATAACGTTGCATGGTAGACTGCAAAAATCTATATCGACTGCAAAAAATGTAGTTTTGCGACGATTCTCAAATAATGTTGGCAGTGTCTGCAAAGAACCTGGAGTATAGAATAAAGAATACCACAAACAACTTACCGCACTTCCCCAACATAGTCTGCTTTGACTTGAAAGCACAATACATTGACAATTCCTACTATGATCTCCTTTGTTCTCATACTTGATATCCATAGTCTCAAAACGCCGTTTAAGTTACGCGTATAAGAGATATGCATCCGCATGATCCAACAGGGTCTGTTTCGACTTCACATCTAAATGACCCCGCCAGCATCGCGCATATTGTCAAGAGCATTAGCTCGCTTTTTATTCTCACTACTCTTTAAATAATCTGCCACATCCACAAGATCCAACATGTCCTATCATGATTTACCAGTTTCAAGACACGCTTGAAATCACATTCACCGTATAACTGTCATATTCACGACACCCTCCAAACAAGCTCACTATATTTGCAGGATTCAATATTGTCTATCCTGACTACCTAGAATAAGAAGTTACTTTTAGCATGAATCGTGTACAGTGATATTTTCATAACATTAGAAATCACTTCTTTCCCCTCTTCACCTACTCATGTTAAGCCCAATAAATCCGCATGCAGTGTTTAGAAATACAGAATGTCTTCAAAGAAATATGAACGATGGCAAATAAAGCCAAAATTGTAAGGTGTCAGGAATATTTCTAAGTAGTAAGGATTTTACAAGATCTAATCCTCAAAAATCATATAATGCCTGCGAAGCATATGATTGCAAGATTGTATTTTTAAAAAAACACTCGACAACAATTGCAATAGAGTGCTTCTGTATATATTGCAAATGGTGCACATAGAGCAGGGTCTAGAAATCTAAGAAAAACTCGTCAGAGAACGTATTGTCTGTAAACATTCTCGATTGCAAATAGGTGGCTCCACGGATTGCAAAAAACATCTGCGACCAACCTGGATTTATTGTACAGATGGTAGATACAGAAGAGAATGTAATGTGTCTGTATGTCAGGTAATTTACTTCAAAAAGCTACAAACGTTAGAAATATCGCAAATACTACAAAGATTGTAAAACTCCTAGAAACAAAAATAGCAAAGCCTTCTAAGAAACTGTAAAGATCTAAAGTGTAAAAACGTAATGTCTGCAAAGAACCAAGTATCTGGAAAAAATCATGGAGCCGAAGAGGGTCTGTAAGATAGAATGTCTGCAGAGACTTGAAAGAATTTCAAAAAGCCCAAAGTCTAAAAACATTGGCATCTATACTTCAGAAAGACATAGTGTCTTTGTTGTAGCCGGTGTCTGCAACGATCTCGGGAACGTGGCATAAATGGAGTCGTGAATTATTGCAACAATTGATGCACCGTTGCGGGCATGGGCCAGGGCTTATCGGAGCACCAGTCAAGCCAATACTGGAAAACTGTGAATTACGATGTGCTTCTTGACAGCAAAACCGCTTCATCTCTCGTCTCTCTAATTTGTTTGGTTCTTGCTCGCCAATCGCTCTCTTATCTGTTCTTGCTACTTGTTATGGTCCTCAGTGGAATAGTATTCTCCATGCACTCAATTTTTGCCCACATTCAATAACCAACACTTTTCTCTTCACATTCACCTTTCTTTCCTGCTGTCTCTAATAACTGCACAAGCGCAAATGTTACAAAAGCCCGCCAAAGTTCAGAACTACCCCCAATCAATAAAGCACCCATCCTGTTCATCCTGACATTATTCAACATATACAAAAGTCGCTTCAACATCTCTGCAAAGCAAAATTGTCGTAAAATCCGTTTATTCATTGCTCTCAAAGCATGGTCTATATACACACCGCCGCTCATCTGTCTCTCACGTCCTGGGCCAAATTCCCAACGTCAACAGGCGATTCTTTTACAGGGGCCGTGAGCGAGCTGGCCCAGAACAATGAGCATATAACTATGATAATGGACCCGGCACCCACTCTGCGCACGTATTTTAGAGTGTTCTGCGATGCCAGGGTCTTCTCGTCGCCGATCTGGTCAAGGAGCTTGTTGAAATCTTTGGCCTTACTTTTCACCGAGTACGCTCGATGACTGATGGCGCCGGGCTGCACCAGCCTGGTCACGTGTGTGAGAAGCGATGGTGGGAGTTTCAATGTTGATCTGAACATTCTGAAGATGAATTGAGGATCACGGCACTCGCTTAACAGTGTGGAGAAGTCGCGCACAATATGAGGTCGCCGCCGCTGCGCATTGGACCAGCCAGACACCGTCACGTGAACTGTCACGTGATGAATAGTGGCCTGGCATGGCTTGTGGACGGGACCAGCCCAGAGCTATTGATACTTTGTGCTGCTCCCATTCTTTTTCTTTCGATAGGTCAAAAAAAGAGAATAGTTGGATTCCAGGTCCCTCAGTTGTGGCATGACTGGTCGTTCTTCCGCACCATATTTTGGTCCCTCATACACTGTAATTAGATAGTCGTTTCCGTTTCTGGGCCCGAGGGCATGAACTTGAACTTTTGAGTTCTTGCATGCTGATGGAAGAGCAAGCGCACAGCCCAGCTAAACTTTCGATAACTGCGTACAAAGTGGTGCTCGACAGGACGCCGCCCAATAAGCCTGAAACTCAATTGTTGTTTTGTTCGACCAAAAAGACTTTCGTGACTCACAAATTCTGCCTTCACAACACCAGACTTCTTGTGTCTGTATGTTGAAGAAGCGAAAATGTTTTGTATGGTTATCTTTGCCAGGCCGAATGCTGCCGGTTGAGCATTTGAAACGGGGCCGAGCGTAGCCATGGGAACCTATGTCTCAGTTTCCCATAAATCTGATCATCAAGATTAAAGCTTGGTACCGATCAAATTGCTAGCAATATCACTCTGCTGTCCTTAGAAACATGCATATAGCTATTATTTGGAAAGATTCCAAGAGAACGCCTTGTGCAAGAAGGGGCGAGGTAATAAAATGAGCTTCTTCCAGATCCCGAGATATTTTTTGCTTAAAAAACCTTGTGGGTTTTCTAAATCATACGAGCATGGCTACAATTCTGTATTAAGAACGCCTGTGTCTTTTTCTCTCTCGAAAATAAAACTCCTTCCATTGAGTGAGGCAATGTCACCTACAAGCAATTATTTCCAAAGAACTCGTGTGCATCAACTGGATTAAATTCAGCCGACTCGCGCACCCAAAGCACATCATTTGATATGAAACATGAGTACTTCTTTCCATCAGGGAAAACAAGTTCACAAATTTCATTCATACTCGAATTCCGGCGACCTGTCACCTGAAAAAGCACATTGTGTTGTAGGCAAATTTGTTGAATGACATCTTTAAATGTCACGAGTAGATCCTGCTTGGCAATGGAATATACGCTCGGCGATTGGTCTTTTTTGTCACCAAGGATGAGACTTTCAAGCTCATGGATGGTAAGGCTGTCCAGATTATAGGTTGGCAATTGCATGTTGGGCTGCTTTTTTTCACTCACGCACCAGATTAGTTCGATAAACACATTCGTGTACCAGAGCAACAACTCCCTCACATCGGTATATTTGCTGCTCAACGAAGCGAATTTTTGCTGCCAAGTTTGAAACAAGGGGACTGGATTCTCTTTATCTCTCAAAATATTCATCAAGTGCTTCACCATAGTGTTGAGCACGGTAAACAGCATAATAATCTCCAGCTGTATCGGTGATAGGAGTTGAAAAGAATGTTGAAACTCCAACACAAGTTCCAAAATATCACATGTGTTACTCGTCTGGCTTTGGCAAAAGTGCAACAAGTCTAAAATCACTTGATTTCTCAAATCATGTGCTTTTTTAGCGTGATATTGAGCAATAAGAACAACGCCAGTCGAAAAAAAGTGCTCAAGAATAGGTTTCATTTCCTGGTCGTAGTGGTCCCAGCTCCAAACGTAATCATGTGTCTTAGCCATTTCTAGCCAACAGCGAGAAAGATGAGCCTCGTATTTCATGGCAACAGCTTCCACGATTTGACGGCGTTGAGCGTCATCCCAGTCAAAGTCAGAAAGATCCTCCAATATCGTGCTCTCAAAACCCGTCTTTAGATCCCAGCTCTCTACAGTCTTCAATAAGGAGGGCATAACAAAGTCAACGAGTCCAATTTGCTCAAGGAGCGGGGAGTTGATTATCACAGGTGAGTCTAACCAAAACTTAAAATCGTGCGCCGAGATATTCGAGTTATCAGAGTTTTCTTTGAGAAGCTGCAAAATAAGCGCATCCCAACTATTGAGAGCCGAGGACGCATGCTCTGTTTCTAAACTTCTGAAAAGCACAGCCCATGTCAGCAACTGCTCAAGCAGGTGCGCGTCATTTGAAGAGAATAATTCTGCCACCTGAGTCTTTGCGTATGCAACAAAGATATTTTGTACCTCTGGAACAGAACGGAGAGGATCTTTTGTAAGTTCTGTTAGCAAAGCATGTGTGTCCGAGATACTCTCACGCAGAATGCTGAGCTTGCTGATTAAAGTCTCCAAAGTGGATTTCTCGAGAATCTCGGCTTCTAGCGAGCGAGCATTGTGATCGAGTTCCAATTGCACACCTCGGATTTTCAGATCAAGAAGCGCCACCTCTGTGCTGATCTGTGAGAGTCTTGTGTGTGCCTTTTCCAACTCCAAGGCATCCCGGTTTGCGTCTGCATTGTCGGAAAGCTCCTTGTAGCGAAGTGGAACAGTCACACCCGCTCGTTCGAGAGAATCAATGACGGAAAAGAGGTCATATGTGGGCTTGGAAAAAGCAACTGTTCCTTCCCCGTGACCACTGTCGTCATCGGAGCTCACCATTTGCTTTGCTCCACTGATTTTCTCGCGGATCCCTCCGACGCCTAGCCCTTGGGGTCGTAGTTTGGTTTCGATGGGCACAGCAATGCCGTTTTGTTTGGACCCTAGTCCCTTTCCCTCCTGGTAGCCCATACCCATCAACAACTTGGCACCAATTCCATACTGGCTGACCATGGAGCTCTCTTTTTTATGCCGTGGGCTGCGCTGATAAGGCATGCCATTACGCTCATGTGCGAGCCGCTCAAATGAGCTTCCCAGATGAAAGCTTGGGATGACGGATTCTTTGTCGCTGGGATTTTCAATGTCTTCGTCATCGTCCTCTTCGAGATCCGAATACTCGTTCGGGATAGACATGCTCATCAGTCCCATTTTCGGGACTGCATCCGCCGGCCTACTGGCACCGGAAGAAGGCCCATCTGTGGAATCCCCCGTGGAGGCTGCAGAAAACAAGACCCCGCTTTTTTTGTGGGACATTTGGGGACATGTGACGTGGTGGAGAAAAACACCTCAAGCCTGATGGGTTGGTGTTGCCTGCACCTGCGCACGTATTCTGATCAGTGCGGCTGGAGGCGCGCGCCAGGCCCCAAATAGGCGGGGGACCAGATCGGATATGTCCCAGAAATTGGTTGCAACCGGGGAGGAAAAAGTGGTTGCAACCGGGGAGGAAAAAGTGGTTGCAGCCGAGGGGGAGAAAGTGGTTGCAGCCGGAAAAAAAAACCGGATATTTCAGAATGACGAGGCTTCTGTAAACATAGCGGGAACGGGGTGTGGCCAATAGATTTGGAGGGTATTCTCGTGAATCGGGTGTTCTTAAGCAGCGCGGCTGGACGAGGCAGAGCATGGAAGGGCATGCATCCTAGAGCATGTGAATCGATGGCTGGGGCCAGAATCATGTAGGGGTTTGGGGAATGTAGGAAGCGATGTTCACTGCGCGTCGACAGCATTGTCACCTTGCACTGCTATTCTGTGCTGAGAACTCTTGTGTTGGTCTGAGAGAGGCAATTCCACCACCGAAGCAGCGAGCAATCAGAGCACTAGGCGAGTCATGTGGTGTCCTCGGCATCCACTAAGCGTTCTTCAAAGGCAGCACAAACTCAACAGTGCGGCAGGAAAGAGAACAAGCACAAGAGTTGTAATGTCCAGGGAAGGCCGCAATGCACATCAGCAGATAAAGCAGCAGAGGCACGCAGAAGCACCAAGTCCGCCACGTGGTGGCCCTCTAGTTGGTCAACTGCAAAATCTGCAACCCCAAGCAGGAGCCCCAATATTGAGCGCGTCCATGTGCCCCGCCAGTCCCCTCGACAGCAGCCCGGAATGCACATAGCAACATCCCAGCGTTCACTTCTCTTGCAGGAGCTGTGTCTCCTTGAGCAAGCGCACAAGGCGGTCCTCGTCGTCCTGCGCAGAGGGCGTCTCCAAGTGGTCCAAGCCTTCGCTGGCCACCTGCGTCACGTGGGGCTGGTCCGCCTCGCCCGGCAAGTAGAAATCGGCCGGGATGAAGTCGCCGTAGCGCCGGAGCCACTCGCGGCGCCGGTCGCGCTCCTCGTTCTCGAACCGGAGGAGCTGCCCGTTGAGATACTCGTCCAAGAGCTTGAAATACTTGCGCGGATACACGAATTTCTCGTAGTGGAGCTCGCTGAGGTACTGCAGCTGGTACACGGAGCAGAAGTGGTGGTAGTGGTCACCGAGCGCCCGCACCATGTGGGCATAGCCCTCCACAGGCGACTCCTTGGAGGGCAGTTTCCCGGCGCTTTCGGCCGGGGCTGCGGGAAGCGAGCTTCGGCTGTACACGGTCTGGCTGTGCACAAGCACAAGAAGAAGCTCGGTGACGTCATTGTCCTGGAAGTCCGAGCACGCCGCCAGAAACACGCGGCACCGGTCGCAGAACGCGGCCAACGGCGGGATTTTCTGTGCGGAGAACGCCGCCGCGCGCCGCCCGTTGTGCAAGATGATGTCGTAGATGGCCCTGATTTCGGCGAGCACGGACGGCAACTCGAGGGTGTCGCCCCGCAACACGTCCAAGTCCACCGGCTCGTCACGTGCGCCGTCGACGCAGCTGGACGCTAGCGTGCACTGGTCGTAGTGCTTGGTGAGCATTTCCAAAAGCGCCGAGAGCTCCAGCCCCAACGCGCTGTTCTCTTTCAAGATCGTGGCCACGAGGGTCTCGGGGCCCTTGTTGAGGGGCACCTCTGCAGACGCGTATTTCACGAGCGGCTTCACGGGAAGCACTTGGGCATCGTAGGCCGCCGCGAGCTGCTTGAAGTCGGCCGTTTTCAGGCCCAAGTTGTCGAGGAGGCCGCTGACCTGTTTTTGTAGAAGGCAACCGACCTTGGCGCAGTTGGAGAGGTAGATGTCGATGTTGGTCTTCAAGCTGCCGATGTCGGCCAGCGCCACAAAGTCGTCGAGGCGGTGCGCGGTCTGCCGGTCGCTGGCGGCGGTTTTCACGAGGAACAGGGGCACCGAGATCCCATGCAAAGTGGCCAAAACCGCGTCCAAGTCCCGGAGCGCCGGCTGCAAAATCCCGCTCACTTTCTTGTCGTGGCCGTCCGTGCACCGGAGCACGTCTGCCTGCACATTCTTGGCTATCTGCACAAGCAGCGCATGCTGCCTCAGCAGCTTTTCAAAAGCGGCAACGGCCTCGGCGATTTTCGCCGGCATTTCGCCGGTCAACGTGTCGCTGGAAGCACCCAAGCTGGCATGTGCCAGGGCCGAGATCTGCCGCGCGGTTTCCAACGTGCGGAACGCCTCCGCGGTCCATCCGGCCACCTGCTCTGTAAGCGCCATTGTTCAGAGCCACAGAGAGAAAAAGAACGGTGATGAGAGCCGTGGCCTAATATCTCGGCTGGTACGTATGGAGCATGGTGGGGCGCGGGGGACCCGGTCACGTGACGGGCGCCGCTGGCGCCCCATTTCGGCGTGGGGCTGTCGTGCATGCTGGGAACAGCATTTCTTATGTTTCTCTGTAGTACGCACCGGGCGCCCACGCCTTGGGCACACCGATGGAAGTGA